ATAATAATAATCTTTATGGATGACCTGGACTGACCTTTTCTGAAAAAGGATTTATTTCTTTGATGTATCTAGTAATATTTTATAGAACTAGGTGTTATTTTACGGAAGTCCATATCACTTGTTATTCGATAAGAATTATTTTGTTTAATTCCGCTACCATTATTATTTGTGCGACTACCAGCACTCGAAAATTGACTACCATTCTTATTACTAGAAGTTCTACAAACTTTCATATTAGCCATCAATTTCCAACTGCCATTTCATCCAAGCGCGTTTTGTGACACAAGTTTTACCTCTTAATGAGGCATTATCAGACAAATTATTATCTAGTAATATACTATATTACAGCGGCCAAATATGTGAAATACTGTAAAAAAATTTACCTACCTATGTACCTGTATGTATATTTGTTGCAAACAAATAATTATGAATGAACATAAAAAGTACGAGTACAAAATATAATCAACCGATTTCTTCGTCTATTTGTGTGCATTCCTTAAGCCTTGAATCTACATAATAGATTGTCTTGCGGTTCTCCATCATTTAGATAATATATCGTGGTTTAATAATTATCTATTGTTTACAACATCGCTATCAACGGTAACAGCAGTTGCTCTTGATGTTTAACATGGTAATCAAAGTAGATAAAAAGCAAAAAAGAAATAATTTCAGACACATGAATAGATATTACATCTAGAATCGCCGAAGCGGATCATTAATTAATAAAGAAATTTTGCTTTTAGGGTGTTGAAAATAAGATTTAAAATCTGAAGTTCTTTATAATGGACCGATTAACATGAAAGCTGGGGTAAATACTTTTTTAACGCACGCGATGTTCAACATACAGCGAAGTCGCGTGGCGGAGCTAGTTACAAAAAAACATTAAGCGCCCTCGCCAATCGTTAAATCTAATTTATTAATGGTCCGTCAATAATTGTGTTGTGAAAGTATATAATAAACCTATTACGCTATCATCACTCAACTATTACGTATTAACCTTCTTAATATTTCTACATTATGAATGGACTGAAAATAAATTATGAATACAGTATAAATACGTTAGAGATAAGTAAAGCCTCGGCCTAAACATTAGAAAATCTTCGTTGTTAAAGTATAAATAAAATAACAAACCGTATACTGCGACTTCTTAAGTAATGAGCTATCAAATGCAAAAAATTTAAAATCCGATCATTAGTATCATATTATCAGTAGGATATTATTCAAAATAAATTCGTAATCGTTAATAGAAATAGGAGTTATCATTATCATTTCAGTTGTTAAGTACATATCACTGCTATTTGAGCTACGTTAATAAACAATTGTGTTAATTTGCTCAATTTTGTATTGATTTTACAATCAATACATGCAAACTTTCTGATTGTTTCCATGGATTGGAATATATAATCACAAGAGTATTGCTTATTATTATTACTGTACTATCTTCGCTATTTTCTTCAAAATTAATTTATATACTATTTTTATTATATAGAGAGTGACACTGAAACTTTTGTATATGTCTTTAAATTATCCTTTCATGTGTTAAATACTGTGTATGAATTTGTATACAAAGTGTATCATATATATATATACATATTATGAATGCATCTAAGTATAGTACATACATTATTATTAACTTTTTAAGGTCAATGTGAACTATGTCGGTGTGTATGATTTCCTGTAGCAAAAAAAAAACTTCATAAATATCAGACTATCATATTGTATCGTTTTGTTTGTGCAGCTGCTACTTTATCACACCTACCACAAAGATTATCAGTATGGATTTTTTTTATTTATCGAACAAGGCTACGAATTAAGGGCGAGTCCCTTAATTCGTAGCCAAATTTATTTTCATACATTTCATTATCATCATATCAGCCTTTAACAGTCCACTGCTGAATATAAGCCTCCCCCTTGGGAGGTTTTGCCAATAGTTGCCACGCTTGGCAGACGGATTGGCAACCGCAGTTAGACTTTGGATACTTTAAAATGAACGCTGTTGGACATCCCTCGCTTTCCCTTAGTTGCCTCTTACGAAACCCATGAGAAAGGAATGGGTGGCCTATTGTGTACCGGGACCACACGGGCATTTAATTCATCATACATTTCATCATTTAATAATAGGTTCTTAAAATATTAATAGTAATTATAAGTAGGTACCTGAATCCGTCATAGACAAAATTCATTACCGTCATAATGCGGTTGGCAGATTGTTCGCTCACTTCTTGCGTTACCGCCATTTTACTATGTTTTTTTTTTCACATACTAACACAACATCAATGTTTCTATAACAGTCAACAAAAACAGATTCTTCTCTGATTTTGTGTACAAAAATTGTACTGCGTTTTTTTCCTAGGAAGCGTATTGTCTATATCGCGGCGCGAATTAACATGCGCCAGTTTAAGCGTTGTAATGATGGAATAATCGTTATGATAATCAATACATTCTTGATAAATACCGTTCCAAAAACAATACGTATGTATTATTATCTTATCTACTACTAGCAAATCGGCTCGGTTTCGCATAGGTAGACAAAATTTTTCGAAAATAACATATCGCCTATGTTACTCACTTTAAATAGTTTTTGAGTTTGTCCATTACAAACAAACAAACAAAGAAGCAAATCTTTCTTGTTTATAATATTAGTATATTAGTAAAGATAGTATCGACCCGCTCCGGCCTCGCACTAGTTTTTTAAAGACTGTATACTACAGTTCATGTTACTGGCTGATAATGTAGGTTTTTATTATAGGTGAAGAATTTTTTAAAAACAATTAAGTATTTTTTTTGAGTTCAACTATTGCAATTAAAAAAATGTTTTCTCTTTATAATATTAGTTAAGATTTTTTTTTGCATACAACTTAGAATGGCAAACAAGTTGACGGCCCACCTGATGGAAAGTGGTAACCGTCGCCTATAGACATGAGCAGTACCATGGACATAACAGAGTATACTGTTTCGCCCATGATACCCCCCATGCGTTGCCATTCCTGAAGACTCAGGTGTTATTCCTCTGTACCCTGTAAATTCACGCCATATCCCACCCTTCAAACCGAAACACTGCCATGCAAACACAACTACTTCACGGTTGAAACACGAATGGGACAGAGTTACCCAAGCAATCGACTTTTGTACAAAGTCTCCCTCTGGTAGATTTGGTCCATTTGGATTAACGAGTAGTCGTCTGATAGTATGGAAAGTGGAACTAGGATAATGGAAGGGAACTGTTATGGGCGATCTAATAACCCCATCCGGAGAACGAAATGGGTCGTTTGGTCTTGTTGACGAATGAGATTACGATAGTACATTAATAGTGTATGTTTATACTACCAGCCGTTTCCCTTAGCTTCGTTTACGATGAACACGTTATTTCTTGCACAATAAACATTCTTCCCTATTCCTATCCATTATTTCTCGTTCCCGTGGAAATATTCAAAAAACCCTTATCGTAATAACCTATGCTTATATCACATAAGGACAAACCCATGTAAATCTTCCGATTCTTAACAGAAGTAGTAAGTACATACTATTACTGACATATTGTGCTTCAAGCTCCAAGAGTTGTTAAGTACAGGACTGGGCTGGACGCTATCGTAAATGGTAATACAATACATATGTAGTATACAATACATAATATTAAAGCTCTTAAGACTTAGCAAATTGTATATTAGGAATTACTAATAAATGAACGATACAAATAAGAGTATAATAATAAATAAGAACTATATGAAATGATAAGATATCCGCAGAAGAACCAAAATAACTACGTGCAAGCACGTACTATAGACGGCATTATGTAGATTATTTGATGTTCTGTTAAGAAAAACAGAGTTGACCAAGCAAGCTCCTCTATCTTGCATTAAAAATACTCAATGATGTTTTGAGCTAAAGAATACTAGTTACTTGTGGATACAATTGAACGTATTTGCCTACAATTCGTTGGAGTTTCGTCAGATGGCCACTGAGTGCAGATATTTAAAATATAAAAAGTTATTTTTATTCTTGTTATGTAGTTATATATTATTTACTTTCATTGTTATTTATAGTTATAAAGTATATGTTATTATACGGATATTTTCCTGGTTGAGCGTATTAGACGACTGTAAAGCTCACCTAGTTGATTCCAAAAGATTACCATATGCTGGTAATCGAAGGGGAAAAAAGTTTATGTGTCGACCACACGCAATAAATACAATGTAGAGCGACCCACTACTTTGAACGACGACCTCAAATTTTATCGCAAGTCGTCAATACTTAGGCCATTCTTTATTGCATTGTATACTCAAAGAGGCCTATATTTTAGCACTAGACAATAAATAGCTGTTAAACATCACTGAAATTACAACTATCTGTTCTCCATTGCATAAACAATTTCCCAATGGACTCTCAAACGGAATGCCACAATGATGACATTCGAGATCTAATAGGATATAATCTTAGATTGCGTTTATCACTACTTAAAATTCAATTTCCCAATCGGTTCTCTGTAAAATGAGGTCCATATAGAACGAAGAACCGTTATACTGTTTTATATGGATCGCATTTTAAAGCGACTTCCAAAAACTGTTGTATCGTCATGCATCGATGAGTATGTGTTAGACTTCTGTTACTACATCTTCCTGATCCTTCGAGCTACATTACTATGATTTTTCAGCATACTCCTCTTTTAGCATTTCATCTTACTAATCTTTGGGTCACTTTAAGCATGATAATAATGATCTTTAAATTATCTTTAAGAATAATATACTTATCACGGAAGGGAAGGATTATCATTAACGGAGAGTTAATCGTTATCGTTAACAGGGTATACTGTCATGTCAACATATACGTGGACCTCGCTGAAAACTTTCGAATAAATTTACCACAATGTAATAACTGATCTTACTTCATCCTCGTCTATCATTCTTCATTGTTTTCCTGTCATCGTATTCTGATAGCACAGGTAGGATTATCATTTCATTTTCACTCCATTAAAATTACTCGCTCTATTAAAAAAAACTTACTTATCATGTTTGGTGCGAGGGTGTGGCTCGAGCTGCAGCGGGGTGGCGGGAGCGGAGCGCGGGGCCCCGCACCCGCCACCCGCCGCGCCCGCTGCGAAGTTCCCGGTTGACCTGCAACAAGTACAACACCATAGTCACATAGTGAAAGCAAACTCTACCAATGATGGCAACTGAATGCTGCAACCCATGAACACTAACAGCGTCAAAGGATTCGCCAAAACGGTGCCAGTTTTTTCTTTTTTTAATTTAAACATCGAGTAACCTAGCCATCGTGGTAAAGGTAGACTTATGTCATTTTCTTATGGAAATAGACCAGTAAACCGGTACCCAGTAGTAGGACATTATAATGAATATACCTAAGTGTGATATTTATTATTGTGTACTGTTTATTTCGATTTCAAAGATATGATAGTTGATTTATCATCAGACAGAAAAACATATCTCAGACATATAATCAATGTCTATTAGATAATTTGGTGCTATATACGAAGATGTTTGCTATTCTCAATAGTATCAAAAAACATACGTAAAACAATATATTTCACTTCAACCTTGTCATCGTTAAATATTGAACATAGGTCTCTCCCATTTTTCGCCTCTAAATACGGTCATGAGCCACCTCCATCTATCAACATTATTGAAGACTATATAAAATTCATGTAATGTCTTAATCTAGGCCCAAAAATAGACGAATTTCATGCAGTTGTGTCATCTAAATACATGTCTGTGCGATTAGTACCAGAGTCTCAGGCGAATAAACATTGAATATTTCGCACTCTAAGTATGTTACTTTATTATTAGCTAACATGACAGGCACGATATAAACGATCCACTTTCACAAATTCCAAGACCCTAAGATAAATATTTGTTTTGTTTAATTTATTTGAAGTACGTACGTGGCAAAAGTCTTCGTAAATAACATTCGTTCTGGTAACGAGTAATGACAGTAACATAAATAATTTGTTTTAATATGAAATGTTACAGGCCAATACCGAGAAATACGAAGGGATTAAATGCTTTGAACTTAGCTTGGAAACTTTAATTTAAGTTTGGATATTTCATACATATACTAATATTCAAAAAATTCAAAACGTGCTCTGAATTTTTAATAGAGAATTATGTAAGTACTGAAATTGACAATCTAATAATTTGCTCCAAAAAAATAACTACAACTTTTAATTTGATAAAATCGATAAAAGATCAACACAGAAGTAAAATCTATCAAATAAAAGAGCAATGAAAATCGGTTCAGAGTTAGCAAAGATTGTGTTTCGTTAAGTATACAGTCGAGACGAATACTTCTCCTTTTTGAAGTCACTTAAAAAAAGAGATGATAAATAGAGAAAACTTTTTTAAATTTATTATAGAACCTGTAAACTGTAATAGACATAAATAGTAATTTAATATATAAATTGAATAGACTCTGAAATGTCGATCTCGCACCCACCCTTCTTTGCTATTATAATACGTAATTGTTTCTATTCATCGTTGCCAATACAAATCATTGACATCTCTAGAAGACTACAGCAGTTTTAGACATATTTTCTTTCAGAACTTAACGTGACGTAACAATTTTAGAATAACAGGATATTATATTATTAACACGGCGGAAATTATGTATTTTACAATATAAAGAAAATTATAAATAGTTATAAAATTAAAATCATAATTATATTCTAATTTTTTTATAACAGAGAGTGGCCCCCTTTGTACGAGCACGCGGCTCACCTGATGGTAAATTACTACCGCCGCCCATGACAGCACCAGAGGTATTATAGGTGTCCTGCCGGCCTTTTAAAAATAAAAATGCTTTTTTCCTGAAGCGTATATATATAATAGATATCGTATTGGTTCAGAAACATTGCTGCTGGAAGTTAATTCCAAAGAGTGGTTATGCGTGGAAGAAAATACCTTGAAAAACACGCGATGGAGGACTGACACTAATTTAAATGGTTGGGATGGAACTTTAGTATGTGGCGGATTGTACGGTGATAAAAATCAGCAGCAGATATTAACTACTTTGAACTTTAATAAACCGTACCCAATATAGAAAAGAAAAAAACAAAACAAAAAATATGTAACGATATTTTTAAATATATATTAAAATATATTTTTTTAAATGTCTTATTAATAATAAATATTATTTAATTTAAATGTTATAAAAATCAAAAACTCATAAGATAAAACAAGACTTCTTTATAAGAGATATCTATAACTAAAAAAATTCATGGTACCTTTTATGCCTATAGCTCCTGCGACGACGTGACAATGTTGAATACGTTACAACATTCAAAACCGGATATCCCAAATGACTTCTATATTTTCTTGGAACTTGACTTCTAGACATTTTAAATAATAATAGATATAACCACCGCAAACATAACACAATCCAAAATGCCACAAAAAAGATTGCAATCAATACTTCAATATCCACTAAAATTTCTTTAACACCATGATCCACAAACAGTCCATTGCAATCGAAGAACATCAAACCACAAACTAAACATCACTAAAAGTATTACAAAATACTCAAAATAAAAACACGCATCTTACAATTACTGCATACAAAATTTTGAGATGCGAACAACAAATAATGACTTTCTTACGAGGGAATCGAATATGAAATGGGAGTTGATATAAAGAGCGGCATATAACGAGGTTCGATAAACGACAATGAGATCTGATCTTAATATGATACATTTACATCTGTTCAAACATAAATGTGTTCGTAATCAACATGAAGGTCAACTAACTGTAAAAGAAATAAAGCATTCGGCAGCTATGAACTTTATCTATCCATAATAACTCATTAAGAGTATTCATACTTAAATATGCCTCTATCTGCTCTGGATCTCCATCATTAATCATCATCATCATATTCCTGACCCTGATATTCCCTATGTCATACTCGTATTTGAAATCAATATATATTTTCTCTTACACTTATCTCTATTTGCAGTCACATCAGTTATTCACTATATTTTAGGACATGTTGTCTTCAATCGTCCTTCCTGTTTAGCTCGTCTATAATTATGATCATTCACATTCATATTTAATATATTCTTTACAATATTTACAGTATATTCTGTGATTTTCATATCTATAGGTGACGTTTATCGCTTTCCATCATGTGGACCGTCGTGGATAGGTTGTTTGCTATTCTAAGTTGCAGAAAAAAAAAATATCTTCATCTCTGAGAAATACGTGGCCATAACTAAGACAAAAGATTACTTTTCCATCTCTCTATACCCATTAGTGCTTATTTCAGATTTCTACTGATATGTGTCATTTTTCATTTTCTGAAAAGTTAATAAACGAGTATTGTTGTAAACAAAAGTACAATATTCATGAGTACAGTAAAAGTAAAATATTACGTTACGTAAATCAACTTTATTTTCAACCGACTTAAACAAGTAGGTACTCAATTCCGTAGTATTTTTTTTCTATTTTTTACTTTTGATACCTCATATCCGTCTCCGTCAATTTAAAAACCGGCTTGGAAAATTCTTATTATAAAAAAAAATATACATTCTTTTAAATTGCTCTCATAGAAATTGTGTAAAAATCGCTTCAGTAGTTTATTTTTTAAAACAAAATAACTGATTTTGCTACATCTGAAATCAGTGTTTTTTTTTCTGAAACAATATTTTAATCATTAAATATAATAATTATGTATCGATAATATAATTTAAGTTTAAATAAAATACGTATTAATTTTACTTTCGTTGTAATAACTCTAGTTAGAGTACTACTAAGAAGTACATAAATAACTTTTATTACTAAACTTTCTTGAAAATATATTAGGTCGAATTACAGTACGTGCCTCTGATATTTTCAAGATAAATGCTATCGTACCAAAATACAGGGCGTCGGAACACTAACTAGAACAATTTATATATAAATCAAGGCTAATATATAATTAAACATACTTATTTCAATCTCTTATTCTAGATCGAACAACAAAAATAAACAACGTGGTTCAGATGTAGGCCACTGAAGATACAGTGTTGAAAGATGATCTATGAAAGCTTCATAAATCCCATTGGTAAATTTGTAAACAAAGACTATATTTAGCAAGGCGTCTGTCTGTCTGCTAATATCATTTAATTTATTACAGAAAATAATCAAGAATATTAATGTAGTTAACTGATAAAGGTTCTTTAGGGTCAACACGCGTAACTGGTACCTTCGGTATTGCAAGTGCATATAAATTAAATCAAAATTTTAAAAACTCTCGACAAAAAATGTTATAAAAAGTAGTCCCCAATCATGATCTAATATCTACTCATTGGGACTATTCTAATAAATTCAAACACGCAACATCGATTATCAATTGTTGATAAGTTGAGTATTTTGCAGACTACTTGATGCTGCAGCATCAGGTCATGGATACCATGTCATAGAAATATCAACGAAGTAACAACACACCCAATCTCAAATAGATCTAACTGTGGAAGTTGGTATAATCCCTTCGTCAAGTAGAAACCGAGTTAAGTCTTCATGTACGTGAACATATTAATATTTTTTTAATAAATCATAGCTAAGAATCAGTTTAATTACATTAATTTAGACATCAAAATCGATACTTCCGTTTGAGAGTTATGAAGTCACAAACAGTTACACAGCTAGATACGTTACACTTCGCTTTTTGCGTTAAATATTTAAAAAAAGGCATTGAAAAAATAGTAAACTTATAACGAAGTAAACTAATTCTGGTAAAATGGTACAAAATTGAAAAAAATATTTCCGTCATACAAAAAAAATATACAAGCTGTAATTGAGACATTTAAATGTGTCATCTGTTCTAAAATGAGAATTTGTTTTTTGTGCGTGATATATTTTTTGTTGTTTTAAATTTATTTTCTTTCCTTTATTGAGTTGTAATTGTAGTAAGGAGTGAAAATATGTCGGTCAGTCTCTTAACATAGCCAATTGCTCGTCTGAAAACTAAATCTGCCCGAATACTAGTGACCGTTATCTTACAAAATACTGTCAAACAACGCTACTTTGTAGAGTTGTTCTAATTATATCCTATTAATATTATAAATGCAAGTTTGTAATGATGAATGGTTTTTTTTTTACTTTTTCGCGTAGAAACTATTGAATTGATTTCAATTAAATTTGATACAGTGGTAGTTTTATATACTAACTTTGTACATAAAATATAAACTGATTCATTCAAGCAAAATCACGGTATATAACTACTAATCTATAAAGTTCTAAAAAGAAGATAAGTAACACACAAATACCTTCTTACGTAGTAACTATTTTATTATCTAGTCTTCTGCCCCGACTGCAACTAACTCGACAGAGACCAAATTCACTATTAGATGTTCCAAACTAAATACTACGCTTTCAAAACATAAATTCAAAACAATAATCTTTTGTTTGACTCACAATTCTCAAATTTAAAGCAATACATTTCAATGTTTATAAACTGATCAACGAACTTATTCGACCTGATGGAATCATTTCGCTGAGAATAGTAATTTCAGACGGTCTACAATGAGGTTCTTAGGGATTTTTATAGTGATCATTTTTAAAATTCTTCAATCTGAAAATGTAAGAAATTATAACAAATATCTACCTAATTATATTAATTATTGATAATATTAATTACCATCCTAAAATTGCAGGGAAGAAAAATTGGTTTTTAAAAATAGACTTTAATTTTGTATTGCAACAGGTAGATTTTGTTCCATAAAAAAAACTGACTTCAATCTTGACTAAACCACTTATTTTGATTTAAAAACCAACCTACTGAAACGATTTTGATGAAATTTGTATGGGACCAATCTGAAAAAATATCCTTTCTTTGTTCTGTAATTCTCTTCGTACTTTTTTCGAAGTCGGTTAAAAAGCAATAGTAGATCTTGCTTCTTGAATTACTTGCTCTGTTTCTTTATTTTATTTTTTTCGACGGTAACAACAATTCTCATTCAATCATTTACCAGAGGGAGACTTTGTATAAAAGTCGATTGCTTGGGTACCTCTGTCCCATTCGTGTTTCAACCGTGAAGCAGTTGTGTTTGCATGGCTGTGTTTCGGTTTGAAGGGTGGGATATGGCGTGAATTTACTGGATACAGAGGAATAACACCTGAGTCCTCAGGAATGGCAACGCATGGGGTGTATCATGGGCGAAACAGTATACTCTGTTATGTCCATGGTACTGCTCATGTCTATAGGCGACGGTTACCACTTTCCATCAGGTGGGCCGTCAGCTTGTTTGCCGTTCTAAGTTGTATAAAAAAAAATCATATGTTTTAAGTGACTTCCAAATGAGGGAAGTTCTTAGATGACGAAATATTTTGTTATTCATTAGTGTGGTTTTCATTGTAATAACTGTTGTTTCTACGAAGCAAAATTCTATATAACTTTTAGAAAATGATACCAATAAATTGTGACATAATGCCATCTCGTACAACAAAATCGAGCATGGCGCTAAATGATGATAATGACAATGACAAAGTTATAGGATTTGACGTCAGAGATCAAGACGAATTGAATTATGAAGATACAAAGAAATTTATCAATACCGCAACTAAAAAGGTAATCGCCGTTAATATATTATATTAATTGGTTTAACATAAATCTAACCAGCTAAAACCTCTGAATTTTCAAATTCATATATAAATTTACGATAAGACCTTAATGCGACGCGATTAATTTATTTTAATAGGTGAATTAATGTGTTAAACACATTAATTTACCTTTTTAATTAAAATTAATTATTTCATTTCAATGTTTTGAAATTGTTTGCCACTTGCTTCGTGCTCCGGAAGACTCATAAAACCGTCGCCCGGTAAACAACGGCCTAGTGTATAACAATGGCGTCCTAGAAACTTCTGACACTAGATGGCGACACACTCAGATGAGTAGTAATAGCGGTAGTAGTAGTATAATGGGTGTAATAATTTATCGAAATCCATATTTCTTTAGACTTTTCATCATTTTCAATTAATTTTTAACAGACTTCAAAATTAAAGAAGTTATTAATTTGGTTGTATTGAATTTATTAGCGTAATTATTTTAAATTGCAGCCATGTGCTATCGTGGTACTCTCCAACATTCAAAATCCAAGTGTACAGTCACTGTTGCGCAAATACAGATACGACGGCAACGGTAAGATGGTGTTTAAATAAAATTTTACATTAAATTACATTTTAACCGACTTCAAAAACGAGAAGATTCTCTATATTTGTATGATATGCGATATCTTCGAGATTTTTAAACCGATATTGATGTTTTTTTTTTTGTGATTTAAATATAGACTGTAAAAAATTGTGCAATTAGGCTGTACTCGTATTTCTATGTATTGTATGTTACATAATATCTTTATTAATTCTAAACATATTTTGATAACTCGTTTTAGATAACTTTTGTTATATATAGGGTTCTATATTAATATTGTCAGAATTAAAGAAACTATTTTTTATTTTGTGTTACATATTTTTAAATAATTAAATGAAAAATTTAAGTATCGTGTCTGTCAACTCATAATTAATTTGCCAAAATTAAAACTGTTTTTTTTTTTTGTAGAAGTAATCTTATTCATAAAGGCCTGAGCAGACGATGGACTTTTTATTCGTGAACAAGTTACTCTTTGCGTAAACTAAGAACCTATTTCTAAGCGTACATTTTAGTGGCCTCATTAGGACTGGACTAAAATTAACACTGAGGATCGTCTCTCATCCGACTTAAAAGCGAACGCAGGCCGTATGTCCATTCTATAATTATAATATAAATTGTATGTTTATTATTTACATAGCTATTATTTCATTCAGGCGTTCTGATTCCGAGCAGCGTGAAGTACTTCATTAAACTACCACAAGGGTTGCGTTCGGCGCCGATTTTAGTCCCATTGAACGATAAAGCATTTTCGCCTTTAGGTGGGTTTGTGAGGTAAGTTATTTTAAATTAATCAGTCAATTTATTACACGTTTACAGTAAAGAGATTTTTTTTCGCAAACACAATGCCCATCATCTACATATGCCTTTATGTATAATAATTGTTCACTTTTATTTTGTATAATAAATGCTGTGTTCATAATTTAAATCGGCTTACAGATATTATAAAGAAGTGCCACCAATCCCACAGTCGTGGTAAGTAAATTTAATATGTTCGCATATTCTCGTAGTTAATCTCAATAAACGAATATGGAACTTGAATGCATTTTATTCTCACTTTAAACCTATTTAGATAAAAAATAAATTAAAGTCATTTATTTAATTTAAGTACAATATCGAAAAACATTTTTGTACAGCTACAAAGATAGAAATATATTAAAAAAAAAGATACAGGGAGATAATAACCTTCCCTTTCTGAAGTTGTTTAAAAATAATTTACTTTGAATATTATTATATTATTACTTAAATTATATTATTATTTATTTATATACTTTTGTACATTCACTTTTAATATAGATATAAGTTTATAACGAAAATATACACAGACGGACTCTTTACTATATTAATATACGCAATATTATGATAGAATATTAAATTTAAATGCAACGTAAATGGATTTCTATTTAACAATTAACATAATAATATAGAGAATTTACAAATACATACTTTGGAGTTTGATATTAACGTCATTATTTTTCTCAAGTGTCACTATACACGTTGTAGCATTGTTGTAGTGTTCAGCACTTTGAACGACTTTATACGATGTACGATATATTTTTAGTATAATAAAAAATAAGATTTTGTTCCACAAAAAAATCAACTTCAGTCATGGAAATACCAGTTTTTTTCTTTTAAAAACTAAACTACTGAACCGATTTTGATATAATCTTTTATGGGACTAATCTGTAAGTATATCTTTTCAGATAAAAAAAGTAATTTTCAAATTGGTTTACAACTGACGGAGTCATGATATAACAAACATTAAAAAGAAAACAATCGAATTGCGAACCTCCTTTTTTTTAAATCCTTACCTTATAATTACAATATACTAAGTAATATATAATACAAAATTAAGTCTATATTCGGTATAGATATACATTCGAATAAATAGCATGCATGAATAATATCGGTACAACTGCGATATCTATATATAGGATCCCTCACAAAATTTCGGTGTCACCTGGTCGAAACGTTAAGATAAATCAGGTAACTTATCATAGTTTACTTAAATAATCACATTAATTCCCGTTTTTTTTATAAACAAAAAAATGTTTCATTAATGACAATATGTTGGCACTGCAAATTCTAATTGGCTCATTGTGTCCATTATTTCGAGACCACCTTCGCTTCATTCAGAGACCCTAATAACACAATCAAAACGAATAGAAAGCCTCTATTGTGGCTCATAGTACGACAGGTGCAGTGTCCGAAAGACACAGCATATAACATTAATTTTTGAAATTTCCAAACGCTTATGTTAAAAATTTAGTTTTACGAGTAGCACAAAATTCAACCTCCAATCATAAAACTTTTCAAACACTAGTAGCTGTCACTATTTCGATAGTAAACATTTTTATTGTAGTAAACTAGGGTAATGTCAAAATATAAATCACAGTATTTTAACTTAATCCATCTTTCATTAAATATCCTAATATAAAACAAGTGTTATAACCCCATATAACATTATAGTTCTTCATATTCGTAACTGATATGGGAACACTTGCCTTTCTCATATCTAGGCTACCGTTTTATATACTTAAAGTCTCTAATAAATATAATAATATAATGATCACAATGTTGTCTTAATTAAGCCTTTGATAATATGGTGACGAAATTATAACAACTGTTTATCCTAAGAAAGAAAAAACAATGCAAAATAGTTCTTATACCAAAAGCTAATAGGTTGAGATATCTTTTAATAAATTCTTATTTAGCCATAAAACTGTTTCAAGCCCAACATGCGCTTGGCACGTTTTTTATAAAGAACTACGCAAAATAGTCGAATGTACAAAGTAACGCAATTAATGTCTAAGATGGTGATTAAGACTTTTTATATATAAAACAGATACCGTTATGTAAACAGGAATATTTTAAAGTTGCGTTAGTACGCAGGCAAGCGAAAATAGTGGGTATAGTACGCAAAATTAATTTGGAAAAATATACATCTAATGTTGTTGTTATAAGTAAAAGCATTAACGTAATATTTTACCACTATAATTTTAAGATTGAAGCGACATGTTTATACCAGATAGTGCCTTTAAATATGACAGTTGTAAACAATATAACAAACTAGACTGAGAAACTGATGTCTCACAATCTCTTCACAGACGAGTTGACAGACTAAATGTTGGCTAACCGCCAACTTCCATACACGCTCTGTTTGAACTCTATAACGGACAGAGACGAGTTCTAACCTACCAATTTAAGAAGGTCGGATACATTAAAGGACAGCGGCGCGACTGGTTCGTGTTTGATTCAGTTGAATATTAGAGTCACGTTTGTATACGTTGACGAAGACGCAGAAAACGTTACTAAAAATTGTCACGTAGGTATCAGAAATTCGTTGGTGAATCAAATTGGCATGACCGTTATCAATAAAATACCATAGTACCATTATTTATAAAAGTTGATGAGAAGATTTATCAACAGATTCTATGACATGAACCATATCTATTCACCTATGTGATCGAATGCACGTACACACGAATAGTTTACAAATGGAGATACCAGAATATATAGTTATACAAGTATACTACACGTGTTACAACATAGCTCATATCATGTTTAATAAAATTAGGAAACACTAAGTGCCAAGTTTATTTACCAGTCTAGCTATTTACCAGAGGAAGACTGTACAAAAGTCGTTTGCTTGGACACCTCTGTCCCATTCGTGGTTCAACCGTAAAGCAATTGTGTTTGCATGGCTGTGTTTCGGTTTAAACAGTGGGATATGGCAGTGAATTTACATGATACAAACGAATAACACCCGAGTCCTCAGGAATGGCAATGCATAGGGGGTATCCTGGGCGAAACAGTATACTCTATTGTGGCCATGATACTGCTCATGTCTATAGGCGACGGTTACCATTTTCCATCAGGTGGCCCGTCAGCTTGTTTGCCATTCTAAGTTACATAAAAAAAGTAGGAAACACAAGAAACTATGACGTTGACTTTGTTTAAGTCATCCATGTTTTACATCCATTATGAAAAACGATTTTTAAATGACAATTATCTAGCGTTACCCAATGACTCAAAAGTTCACGGCCAGCTGAATAATTTGTCTGACCTCGTATAAGGCGACATAAAAGCTAACGACCCGAATGCTAATCCTGCTGCCAAAAGCGGCTATAGAAGGATCGATGAGGCGTTTCAGTTATACATTAAAAAGTGCCCGTGTATATATTTTTACACAATTTTGGGTAAAAAAATATCTTAAGAAGAAATTTGAACTAAAAAGAATTTAAAAGTTATAGCATTTATAAACCAAATATATAATTATATAATATTGTAAACAAGAAGATGAAGTTACTATTCATTCGTTGGTCGTACCAGTAGTGGCAAAACGTACTTTAAACGGACCATGGTTTATGATTGAGGAGAAAAAGAAAAAATCGCATCTGGCAACGCTGAATACAAACCACTGTACGTACACGAACCTCGTAAATTTGAATCAATGACAGCGTACATAACTACATAATCGTACTATTACAATCAACTGGTTTTGTGAATCGCGTGGGTAGATACCTACCACCATCTCACCTACTCTTGAAATGTAGCAACACAGACACTATATCTGTGTAATATTTGTTGAAAGCCATTGAAACCCTACGCGTATACGCGACGGTTACGTCTTTCCATTCACCAGACACAGCTTGATTGCTATATCCTTCAATTAATAAAACGTATGTTAATTGTTATAGCATCCTGTTCTATGAAATGTCGCTTTGTACGCAATATTGCCTTCATAAACAACACAATTAAATACTAATTGAGTGCAGGTATATAATTCCTACTTTTTAGGAGAAATTATTTTTACTTTTTTCACCTACTTGGCTGTAGCATGCTTTTTTGATCCCTAACAATATATGCCAAAATTAATAAATTTGCTGCTATCGTATACTCAAGTCTTGTACCTTTTAACTTATAATCACATTGTATCATAACATATCTAAAGGATTTCAACGTTTCCTCGTGACATGGCCTGTTGAGTACATCCAATATCATTGTAATACGAATGCGTAGTCTCATATTAATTATGGCACCACCATCATTAGAACTATCCATAGCCGAATTAAACATTTTATCTTTAATAATTAGCCATCCTCTGCCGAAACCGCCCAGAGAGTAACAATCGCAACCCGCATTTTGAATAACGATAACCAAGTTTAATCAATTTACTAGCCGAGGACACAATGCAACCTTTTTCAACAAAATACAATTGCTGCCATACACATTTATTTATAATATTGACAAAAGGTAATATTTCTGTCATATTATGACGAAAATTAAAATGGGCCCATATAATTGCAAATGAGTCACGCTGCGGCAATCATAACAATTATTGAATTGAAAAGTCTAAATTTTACTACATTATTACTTCGTCTTTAGTATGGAAATTATAATTTTCTATTTTTAAAAAACTTTACAAAGACAAAGTTTTAAATTTACTTTTTTTTTCTATTATGTTATAAAGCCAAAGTTTATTCTTTTTTTATTTTTCTCGTATTGATCTTATATTAATTTTCTCACTTTTTATAATAGAAGTCTTTTTTTTTGCATAAGTAAAATTTTTAACATACATGAACTTGGAATACTATCATCGGAACAACAGTAAAATTATTTATCTCTGGCACATTTCGACTGAATTAATCACATGTTTTAATTGTTACATTTAAAAATGTAAGGATTATTCAATGACAAACAGTCCAAATTAGGAGCATCCGCCCATTGATGCAGCCATTACATCACCTTCTCATTTAACATCGATTTGTCATAATCAATTGTTTAATTTTATCACCGAATCACTAACTGCGGAGGTATAAGGTGCAGAACCCATGGTGGTAATAGGCAAAATAAATAAATCAAAGCGTACACAGGTGGTCTTACCAGTCAGTGTCGAATTGTCGATCATCGAGGTTAAGCAACATTTAATGAGTGGGTTCGTCTTTTCTAAAATTACTGAAATAGGTACAGTACGTCACCTAACAATTTGAACAATTCTAAGCCACATAGTCTAAATA